TCCTTTCTCTTTCCCACGACACAGCCAACGGCGGTGAGGAAAGAGGTAAAAGGAAAGAGAGGGACATCACTCACCTATTAACCAGCCAAGAAGAGAGAAATGGCTGGTGAGTGAATGATATCATGTCCCACATGTCCTTGTCCCATCTATTCCTTTCTCCTCAGTCACTTCCTTCGTGGCAGTGAGGAGATGGAAGAGGTGGAAGGACATGTAACCTCCATTCCTTCCTGCATTCACGGCCTCCCAATTGACTCGTCCATGAGACAGGAAATGGAGGTGTAAGTGAATGAAGGAATAGTAAGGAATGGTAAGGGATGGGAAAGGAGATGCTTCCTTCATCTCTCCCATCTATTACTTCCCACTCTGTATCCCTTCTGTCTGTTCCGTTCACTTCATTCACTGTGGAACGACCAAAGGGAGTGGGAACTAATGACCCAGCGGATACAGGAGCTGGGATATAAGGTATGAATTAAATGAAAGATGTCCAAAAAAAGGATACAAATAATAGAGCTTCAGAAACTATAAAACTTCCAAAAAGAAGAAAAAAGATTATTAATAAGACTTCATACTTTTAGTTAATTCTCTTAATAAATCTCTAGACCAAATATGAAAACAAATAAATAATAAAATAAGATGAAATAATATAAGAAATAATTCTATGAGAAGTGAATTCCAGTCCAACAATAAATATTAAATCCTGCAATGATAAATAGAATTATAAGATTTGCGAAGATTAAGAAGATAGAAATATTGATAAGAAAGCAAAATGAATCTGATGTAACTTCTAAATGTAATGATTTCCAAAATAAAAGAATTCAAAAGAAGAAGTAAAGAGAAATAGAAAAGTGTCTTTATGGAAAGGCTGAGGAACGAAGATATCATTTCCTTTTCTTTTTTATGTTGTGTGTCTTGTCTTTTTATTTTCATTACATTTTAGACATTTTATAATGGTTCTTTTGTCTACTTATTTATTACTATTTTATTTTTATATTTTTTAGTATTTTGTTTATCTTATATTTATTATTGTTTCTTTTTTGCTATGTTTACATTTACTATTTATTTTCATTTGTTTATATTACTTGTCTATTTGTCGTTATAATGCTTTTAACCTTATTATCTTATCTTTTTATTTGATTATTTATTGCTTTTATATTTGTATCTCTTTTTATCTTTCATTTACTATTATTGGTTTTATTTTTTATATCTTGTATTTTTAATATGAATTTGAATCTGTTATAATTAAAATGAATGAGTATAAAGTGTAGTATTTATATTTTCTTTTGGTTATTTTAGTTATCTTTTTAATATTTATTGCTTATCTTCTTATTAACATATTTTCATTATATTTTCTTTATCTTTATCTTCATTCTCTTTTCTCTCTTTCTTTATGTTCTGTTTCGTATTAATATTCTAACTGTTTATCTTGTATTGTTTATTTTATTTATATTAGTTCTATAAATATTTGTATATCTTCTTTAATTGATTTCTTATTAGTATTTCTTCATTATTATTAGAATCTGTTTATTATTTACTGTAATCTTGGTTTTAAGGAATTATTATTATTGTAAACCTAAGGAAAAGGAGATTTATCATGGACTGAGGAAATAGAAGGAAAAGATATCCAGAAAGCATTATAAAGCTAACAAACAAGAAAAAAGAAAAAAGATAGAAGAATGAGATGTAAGTGAGTGTCCAATGGATGGATCTCTGGTCAGGCCTCTTCTCTCGGATCCTCACCTCAAGGTCCTGACCCATCCATCATTAAACCAACAATAATACAAATAAAGAGATAAGATAATAGTAATAAAAAGAAAAAAGAAACAAATTGATGATCCTAAAGTAAAAGCAATTAATAAGACTGGGAAATGAAAATGGCAAGGAATAAGAGATGATGAACCCTTCCCTCGCCACCATCGGTTAACCCTTGATTTGTGGCTCGCCAAGGGTAACAGGTTCTTGAATCCCAAGAGCTCCTACAAAAGGATTCTGATGGCACCTTCATGTCGGTTCATCTTCTCTTTACCTTGTATTATTTGGATTGTTTGTTTGTACCTTCTAATTACCTTTCCTAACCTTATGAATCTTCTTTTTGGACAACAAACATAAAATAGATGAATTTCTACAATTTGCTTTTATTACATTTAGAAAATAAATATAAGCAAACAATAAAAGAAAATAATAAAATAGAAATAATGGGACATGAAAAAAATAGCTTCCTTCGTGCCTCAGATAAATCTATTATTCTCATGTTGAATATTTATTTTGTATTACTAATGAAATCTCATTTACAATCATATCTTTGTCCTCTGATCATAAATTATTTTTGGAATCTTGGTTTTTTATTAGGAATTACTATTTTATTACAAATTGTCTCTGGGATCTTCTAAGGTTTACATGTAACATCAGATATAAATTCAGCATATTTTAGTGTTTCTTTTTAACTAGAAAAATATATTATGGATGGTGTTTACGTTATCTTCATTCTAATGGTGCATCATTTGTCTTTCTTTTTATATTTCTACATCTTGGAAGAGCTATATCTTATGCTTCATATTTTTATAATCCTAATACTTGGATTTCTGGAACTATTGTTTACTTCTTCTTAATGGGAACAGCATTTATGGGTTATGTTTTACCGAATGGACAAATGAGTTTATGGGGAGTTACAGTAATTACAAATCTATTATTGAGGGCCCCGCCCCAGCGGGCACCCGCCAGGGACACCGGGCGGTTTTCTGGGCATCCCGGAATGCCTGGACCTGAATGCGGCCGACAGCAAGTGGGACAGGCTCGCCACTGTGAGGGGCAAGACCGCCCAGACCCGTCGCTGATCTACAGCAACGTCAAGGAAGGGGCATCCGGCTAGTTTCCTTCCCCAGTGAGCCGTTAAACACCAGATGTGGGTCGGCCGGAATGAAAGTCCCCCTATTTTGCACGCCACAGGACTTCGGTGCATAAAACGGGAGGGCAAGGGTTGGGAAACCGTTGCATTCCTGCACAGATCAGAGCCAGTCGGCAGTGTTTGCATTCTGAATATCATGCGTACCGTGGCAGGCAACCTGGAGCTACCAGGGAGGAGGCCGGGGGGCGCTACCTCCCGCCAGCAGCGGGAGTGGGAAGGAACCGGCGAGCTCCGGCACCTTCTAAAAAACAGTGCTTCATGGGTTGAGAGGCTTTCTGGAAGGAACAGACCCTGATGATGTCAGCCACACGGCCTCAACCCTGCATATACGCGATGTTTTGCGAGGGTTTCCCACAAACCGCAAGCCCGAGCTGGTGACGCAAAGGCGCCTTCAAGACGCCTCCAACACACGGACGCTTGTGGACGCGCCTTCAAACGCTTTCGGATGCTTGCAGCCACACGCGAGCCGACCAGCGAACACGAGTCTACCCCCAGACCCCACTTTGTAACGAGAACCCTTCGCCACGCGTTCAGGCAAATGTTGGATATATAAACCAACCAAAGTACCTCCTTTGACTTTGAGACATTGGTTTTCCAAAATGCTGAATCTAGCGCTTGTTGAACATTTTTGGCTATACAAGTATTCCACAAACTACGAAATAACCTCTTTTGAAATATGGGTTTGCAAGAATGCTTGTTTTAGGCCGCTTGTTGAAAAAGCAAGGATTCTGCAAGGCTCCCTGGAGCGCTCCAAGCACTGCTTGCCCTTGGACAAAAACTGCAAGTTGGGAAAGTGAACGGCTTCACGCTATAGCTGGCAGAAGCAACTGCACGAAGAAAGGGCTCTTCCGGCCAAACCGCAAGCGGACTCGCACAGGCACACTTGCGCGAGCCAACTCGAGTGAGCACACTTGCACGAGGCACACGCGAGCAAAGCTCCCTTGCGTGAGCACACTTGACAATCGCGCGATGCAGAGTAACTTGCGCAATACGCAGAGAGCGCTTGCGCGGAGCACTTGCGCAGAGCAACGTGCGCAAAGCAACAGTGTGCTGTGAGAATGTTTGCAGAGCCATTGAGCAGAGCAACCTTCGAAGAACACTTCCACAGAGCAACTTGCGCATTGCGCAGAGCAATGTGCGCAGCATACCTGCGCGGAGCACTTGAGCAAAGCCACTTTCAAGTAACACTTCCGCAAGGCACTTGTGCGAAGCAGCTAGTGCGCAAGCAAACTCGTACGAGCAAAAATGGCGCGAGCGACTAAGGCTAGAATTTGCTCTGCAGCGCCCTTGATGGACCCCATTTCGCACGCGCAAGCAAAGCCAGCGTTTCCACCATACGCCGCGCTCGCGATACGTTTCGCTTTCGGGCCACCAGTTCTTCTAGCTTTTTTGATGCCCATAGCTTTGTACAAACCCCGCCTCAGCACAAGGTCTGGGGCAGCAGCGTTTACTCGAAATTGTTTGGCCAAGCCAAAGCTCACCCGAAAATAGCCCTGCCTCGCGCAGCCCCAACCAACCAACCAACCAAGCAACCAAGCAACCAGCCAGCCAGGCAACTAACCAACCAGCCATCCAACAAACCACCCAACACACATACCAACAAACCAACCACGCAACCAACCAGCAAATCAACCAACCAGCTACCTCGCAGGGGCCAAGTCGCATCCAGGGACACGCCCCTATTTTCCACAGGAAAGGACACAAACAAAGACCCTACAAGAAGCATCAGCGGAACTGCTTGACCGCGCCTTGCACATGTAAGAAAAGGAATCGCCCACACATTCATCTCTGCTCAACACTTGTGGCCGAGCGTGAGAACTTCCCAGGCAACACGAGCACGAAAGCGGTCGCCCCGTTCCAAGCCGGCACAAATTGAGCGCAGGTTGCCAGAGTGGGCAGTCTGAGCCGGAGGCCGGGAATCAAGCAGGCAAGCAAGCAAGTAACCAACCAGCAAACAGGCAAGGTGGCAATCAAAACGTAGCTTTCGCTGCTGCCTCCTTCACGACAGGCAAAGCACCTGCCCAACATTGTCGGAGAACACTCCCTGTGAGATGTTTAGAGCTAAAACCAAATCCAACTCTGATCACTCCGGCGCTGCCTGTCACCGTCGCTCCTGCAGGCAGCTTGCACTTCGACGGGCTCCCTTTGACCACATCGCTTCCCCGTTCGTTGGTGGAAGGCACTGCCAAACTAGCTCTGCTTCTTGCGCCCAAGCTGTTGCTGGAAAGCCGCGTAAACACGACGGGCTCCCCGCCCAAAACCAAACGCGATGTTACGTCCCGTCAGCCATAAGAAAGACACATCTTGCGCGCCCAACCAACCGCTCTCTTTCTAGCGACTTTCGCTGCCAAAAAAGCTCTGAAGGCCTGAGCCCAATTTTGGCCTGAATGGGAATAGAAAAAGCGACACAGGCATACAGTCCAGCGCTGCACGCAAGGTGCGGATACTCAAACCACCAATGCCTGGCGTGCTCGAACGCTGCTGAGGCGTGCGCCCATCGTCTTGGACCAGATAGCCTGACGGCGAACTGAAAGTCTTTTAAGAAGTAGATGGGGGAACTTCAGGGAGCCTGGGCCTTTCCAAAAACAAGGAGGCACCTACCTTGCCGAGCCAGCAGGTCTGCAGCTAGTATGTTGGATTAAATCTTGCTTGACATGCCCCTACAAACTCCCAAGAAAATGATCCAATCAAGCCGACTGGACGCGTGTCGGGTCCAACGGCTCGAGTGTCAACACTTGACAGCGCCTTTGAGTTGCTGCAGGTACACAGGGCCTCCCCAACCAACCACAGATGCTTCTAGCGTCTCCGTTGGCGCCAGTGAGCATCCCTGGCACCCCCTGCACACACACACAAACTGTCAGAGGACAGCAAAGGGGCACACGAGGGCGAGGACAGCAAAGGGGCACACGCGAGGCTTTGCCAGAACAGGCACACTTTGCCGAAGCGATGCGTTGTGCTGGGTGTTCAGCATCTCTGCACGCTTTGCCGGAGTGATGCATCGCGCCGGGCGTTCCTTTGGCTTGAGCCTGTGCGCTACTGATTTTGGCGCGAAGAAAATTGGCACAACACAATCGTACAATGCAACAGTTTGCTTACTTGGGCTAGCCTGTTAATGAAACTCTTATGTTTTTGCGCACAAACACACACGCACCTGTTTGGAGCCTGCGCAGCAGCCGCAATCCATCACGATATCATGTCTCACGCGCAATGTCTCAAATGACGTGTGTTGGGCTATTCAACCATGTCACTTAAATAACTAGATGGTTGTGAGTAGGGTTCAAAAAGTTTCACACCCTGCCTTGGGGTTTAATGATTCCAGTGACATCCGAATCTGGAACTATTCAAGCATCCACTTCAAAAAAACATCACCAAACAATGCGCTCGTATTAAGCACATATGGCTCTGTACAGCGTTCCAGACCTACTGCCAAGCTGGCGCAACACGGGGTTCTCCTGCGCGCTGTCAACCCTCATCATCATCATCATCGTCATCATCACCATCATCATCATCATCGCTGTCTATTAACGTCTCGCCAAGGCCCGTTGCTCTTCCAGAAAGTTGTGATGATGCTCTGACTCATCTTGCTCGATCACGTCTATGTTCCCGGCTTCACGTTGCCATCTCTCCACCATCTTCCCCGCCACACAGAACCTTCCTCAATCAAACCACACACCATGTCCATTTGGTGCCACACCCAGTCCAAAGGCCTTGTTTCATTGTCATCTCACACGATGAGCTCAATCTCTGCTCCCACATCTGATACTGTTCTCAAAAGCCGATCTCTCACAAAACTCCGCACGCGCAGTGTAATCTGCCATATCAATTTCTTCCACACAACATGTTCGCAATGTTGCTAGCACGGCCATGATCTATCTCTCGCGCCGCCACAGCGATCACAAGGAAAATGCACACAACGCGCGGAAACCACCATCCCGAAATCCAATGCGATAACACAGACTCCTTCACATACTGCACGCACACACAAGCAATATCCACCAAACTTGCTATAGCCGGACTCAAGGGCCCGATAGTTGCTTCCAAGCCTGCGCTGAATGCAGAAACATCTCCAACGCTTGAAATAAATCCCACACATCTGATCATCTTCGCTCTGCGCCGACTGCGTGTTCAACAAACTGCCATGAACAACTTTCTGCTCGTACAGGCTTGCGCAAACTGCCTTGACCTCGTGCTTGCCCTGCCCCTTGACAAGCTCTGCGTGAAACTCCTCTGAGCCAACCTGATCAGCTCAATTCATGACACTCAACATTGATATCACAAGACATAAACGTTGCTGTCCCAATGGTTTTGTACAAAAGTCTGCGCAATTTGATACAAAGCGCCGGTCTGCCGAATTTTCAACTCGCCATCCGAAACTGCCTTTTGCGACCACAAGTGCTGCTCAGTCATGTGTTTCAAGCGGCTCGAACCTTGCTTCAAAGCAAGCCATCTTGCACCTGAGTTGTCCACATGTAGATGCAATTGTCCCCCGCAACCTGAAAGAAACTATGCGCAGTATAGCGCAAAATATACATCTGAACATCCACTCATTCTCGCACGCGCTGCACCGCTCGTTGATTTTCCACTCCAGTCTGCGTCTGTGAACACCTCCACACACAAATGTTCCGCTGTTGGCGCTGCTCCAAGATATCCACCATTCAAAGTCTGTCCGGGACCTGTCTTTGGCAGACTTGTCGTATATTAATTGGTTTTCTGCATATCCATCTTATCACTCAAATGCTCGGTCTCATCTTCACCAAGAAACTTGATACAATAGGAGTTGCGTACTCCCTCAGTTTCTTTCCTGTAACTTTTTGAAGTTTGCTCACAAGATTATCACATTACTTCGTCGCGGCCTTCACCTCTATTTCTGCTTTTGTCAACGTGAAAGTGCGACGCGACAACTCCACGCTCTGCCCCGCCTGCCCAGCAACCTCGACGGTCGCCTTGCGTCGCGTTTCCAAATCTGGAACAAGCACTTGCAGAACGTATGCTGCTGATGTGGCCATCAAATCATAATCCACAGGAATCATCAAACCACATTTGTTTATATTTCAGAAGAGATGGACAATCTCTGCAGACCTCAAAAGAGTGATTTTCCTTCAGGTCCTTCACAAAACGCAAATACCACTCTGCTGCTGCTTCCTTCTGTCCAGGAAGCATTTTCAGTATCACGTAGGATTCACCTGCATGAATGGGCTCACAATCACCACCAACCTGCGCTTTTTTGCTTGACCTGCAAGAATGCATCGCCAAAATCAAAACTGCACAAGATTGTATCTTCTGGCAACAAACCAGCTGTTGCTGGAGCAAAAACATCTGCGCGCACTGTGCTGCTCCCGTGCACGCAATCTGGCCCTTCGCAACCAGATTGACAAACCAGTTCCAGAGTCGTCACAAGCTTCTTTCTCCCTGTTTTCACAAGCTTTGCAGCAAAAAAGGACTATCCTCCATGGTTCTGTCATCTCCGCTTTCTTGATCACTCCCAGCTTTTCGAGCCTCTTCAGCTCATGTCGCTCTGCAACCTGACCCACTACTAACTTCAGTTCTGCAGTCAGCATCCACATGATCTGTTTCATAAACTCTTTTGACTTTGGAACTTACACTCGCGCTCACCCGTGAGCTAAGATGTCCTCGGCCACTTGCGCTCGTTGGCCCCCGTAAAGCCGTGAAACTCAGCCGAATGGCCGTGATTACTCGCGCGGGAAACTGAAAGGCCGTTACTACTCCGTGGAGAAACGAAGAAAACTTGTGAAATTTCACGCCCTGAGTTATCTTGTCCTGACGACGCCAAAAACCCTCTTACCTCATACAGCCTGGCAACTCGCAACTCGGAGCCTCCTGGTGACTCAGATCTCTTTTCTTCGAAGGGGATATCTCTGCTGTCTCAAGCGTCCGGGTAGCCGCTCCGCTTTTCTGAACATGTGCATCTGGTTTGCCACTGCCCTGCGTTGGTTCCAACAGCACATGACTCAAGCTACTGCTTGTAACAAAATCTTCCCTGCCTGCCTCCTGTTTCTGAGTGTCTGTGATCCTTGTGTGCCAGATGAAGGATCCTGTAAGTCATGCAAGTCCATTCTGCATCAGTTGAAGACTGTGCCCGAGTCGAAAGAATTTGATGTTTGATGGAACGGGTAGCCTGGTTGGATAGTGAAAACCAAAGCGTACTTCCCGTTGCCAAGCGACTTCTACCCCTTGCGGCCGGGCAGCTTCTCTCAGGCCGGCACATCCGCCAGCGCGGTACTCTCAGTGAGACTCTGGTGAACAGCGGAAGATGTGCTGCGCCCGTTTCCGGTAGTGTTGGAGACTGTAGCATTGGCAAACACCATAACGTCAAGCGCAGGGTGATTCGAAGTGGATACCATGAGGGCAGTCTTCTTGATGTCGAATAAGGGACAGGTCTTGAACTCACCCAGTGGAGTGTGAGTAATCTTTCGTAACTTTCTCATCTGTTCCACGCTGAATCGGAACCTGCAACAGCAGCTAAGACCCTCTGATGCTTGAGGGTCATAACTAGTCTCCCTTTGACGACTGCCGTCTCACTGTTGGCAATCACAAACTTTGAATGGGTGGGCTCGTGATGAAGGGAAATTTCATTGCAAGCTTGCTGCTGACATGCCCTGACAAGTCTGTCAACTGCGCACCGACTTCCCATAGCACGTGTACACCCAGAATCCACGTAAGTGGGGTGGTGTTCCAGGTTGATTCTATGGGAAAGCAAACAGGATTCATCCATGTCGACGTAGTAGATAGACGAAGATGACGACGCTTTCTGGCACACCTGCTGATGTGTGCAGGTATTTTTCTTTCTTGCCTCGCTATTGCTGGGCAGTTGCGTGCCCGCTAGTGCGGCATCTTGGCTGCCGTCTGCTAGTTCTTCTGGTGCCAGTCGTACCAATTTTCTGCAGATGCCCATGTCCACCACTCGACGTCATACTCCTGAGTTGGGCGACATTTGCTATTGGGGTGGCTGCATCGGCTTGGGCATCTTTCGTTTTGTCCTTGCTTTTTCCTTTGTCTTTCTTGCTTGCCTTTCTTTCCCTTGCCGCCTTTCCAGCCGCCATAGTGTGCGTCTGTGTAGGGCTCTGCGTTGTAGTCAGCCATGCAGGCTGCTTTGGCTGCGCCTTTCTTTGCCTTTCACGCCGTGAGGCTTAAATCCTGGTCGGCGATTTCTTTTGCCTTTTCCATTTCCTTTTCCCACGCCCTTGCCGCGTCTGAACGTTCTGCCGCCAATGCGGCGTAGGACATCGCACGCGTTCAGGTCTAGCTCCCAGAACTCTTCCTCTGAGTGCTCATCCTGAGCCCAGAAACCATCTTCCTTCCAGGATCGGCCACTGCGGGAGGTGCAGAAAAGTCCCAAGAACTGCTGCTTCACCTGCTGGTAGGCATTTCAATGCCTCGAATTTTAGAGAGGAGCCTGTGAGGATGAACATCAAGGCCACCAAGTTGTTGCGCCGCTGCTGTGAGTACATTCAGGAATGTTTGGTCGTTGACATCACTCTTCACGTAGAGGCCATCC